AATCTGATTGACAAGAGAACAGGGGTTCGGATGTTCGACAAGAAGTCGTTGGCTTTGATCGATAGACCGACCGATGAGGTCGAGAGTATTGTACGGCACGTCTGCTTTCACTGCGAGAAGAGATACCATTCAAGGAATGACTATAAGAAACATCACTCGAAGCGTCACTTCAAAGATGGCAAAGCAATGAATGGCATTAAATACAGAAAGATTGTTGAAAAACGAGACAATGGATTCCATTTGGAGTCAAAGGATACCAATCATAAGACCAAACATAAGAAAACCAAACACTTGTCTTCCAGTACTTCATTGTCGGCTTCATTGGATCCAAGCCTTAATCCAAAGTAAGATAATGTCGACGATTGCTTTAAATAGTGTTTAATATGATTTTTTTGGTGATATAAATAGAGTGAAGAAATTGAAGCTGAAGTTGAAACCAAAAGCTGTTCCACATGTGGTGGCAGACAATGAATCGATAACTCCATCCACTTCTTCGTCAGTGGACAGTGAAAGTGGTAGCGAAAGGACTGGCATGAGATGGGTTCCTCAGTGTCAGATCTGCTCATTCATGCCATTAGTGGACTCAACGAATATGATTGCAATGCATATCACGAAAGAGCACAATAAGTCCGCTCAAGAAGTCCGCGATTATTATGTTCTCAAACCCTTAAAACTCAAATCTAAGTCTAAATCTCACTAACCGTTCACTCAATCCATATATCAGTTAAATCTCATTTGTTTTTCGCTTTTATTTATATGACATTAGATGACATTATCTGAATCCATGCTCTAAGCCATAGATCTACTAATTTGTGATATATTTCATATTTTCTAGAAATTAGTGATTTAATGAACCGATTCTTATTATTCAGTGACCATTGCCTCCATTCCCTATGCAATGCAACTAACGTTCAAATTGATCACAATTTCTACCCTATTTGATGATTCTGTAAATATGACGATAAAAGTCTTAATTTTAAAACAACTAAATTTTATTAGTTTACTGTAAATGTCAAATTATACGCATAATATTGAAAGTATAATTATATGATAGTCAACATTTACCATCTCATTACATAATTCTCACCACTTATTGTTTTTGTTATTATAATTCTTTTACCAAAAAAAGTTACAATTTTTCTGTACAAATGTCTCATAAAGTTAATTACAATTCTACCATAATTTGTTTGCATGTTTGATAAGATCAAAATATAAAACTTTTAACGCTATTCTACATTGTTGTAGTATTTTATATGATAAATAAAATGTAAGTTTAATCAATGATTAAAAATAATAACATTAAAAATAATTATTTAAAAAATGGTTTGAGAGCTCAAAACCTGTAATCGCAATACGGGTCGTAATTTGGATACCCGTAGCCATAATTTCCATAACCAATTCCGTACGGACTTCCGTACCCATAGGGGTCTCCATAGCCACCTCCGTATCCATAGCCACC